AAAGAAAAATTATATTTCTTGTCATTATTTTAATATTTTTGATACATTTTATGCCTTTCATTGTAATAATTTTTTTTTGCCATTTCCTGACAGATTTTCATATTTTTTTTAAAATTTACTGTACCTATTTTTTTAAATGTTTCAATAAGTTTAATTTTTTTCTTATTAGTTTGATAAATATTTTGCTGCCACTCAAATTTTCATATTGCAAGTAACACAAGTGAATATTCAAGTAGGTGCGAATCTTCTAGTAGGTAGCTAACTAAAGTTGCAGAAGCTTTAGATAAACTTTCTCGAACTAAATTAAACTATCTGAAGTTTTCGAAGCATATGAACGAATGTTAATTGAACTTTCTAACTACAATTGTATTAACTTTGCAAGTTTAAAATATACATCGTGTTATTAAAATGCTATTGAGTTTTTGGGTATTTGTATAATAATAATCGCAGTCTAAAGTAAAGAATAAAGAAGCTTGGAGATTCTTCTTAATATAATGTATTAGACGTTATGGGTAATACCATTATTTTTAAATAAAAAAGTGAATTAACGAACAAACTTTTAATTCCTATTTTCACTAATATTTACTAAATTAATAAAGTTATTTAAGTAATAAATCATTATTAGTTAGAAATGACATCTCGAACCGAAAATTATTTTTTAAAAAGTTTTATTTTACTTAATTATAAGAAATTTAGATGTTAATGGCTTGAATGCTAACTAGAAACTTGCTTTTAACTGAATGAACTACTTTTATATAAACAAACTATTCTAAAATGCTAACTATGAAAAATTGTATCTTCTATATATTCTTATGTAGTATGGGTGATATAACTAGTTCATGAATCATATTATTCAGTTTTTGTTACAATAGAAATACGTATTGATATATAGGAATATAATTTTTATATACAATTGCAACATAAAATTTTCGTGTCAGAATTTTGTTTGCTATTGTTTTGATCTTTTGCCAGAACTATACAAAATAAAAGGAAGTTGTAACCGAGCGGAGATTATTTTAAATTCATTTAAATTTTCAAAGATACTGTCAAACGAAAGGTAAGACACAAACACAAACTCATTTCCAATCATTTTATTAGTTAAAAAGTAATTTTAAAGACATTTTACTTCACTTATTTTTTATAATTATCCCATTACTTAGTGAACTACATCTCATGCTCACTCATTGGTTTACTGGTCGAAAACCATGTTAGCCGTTACTACTTATGGCTTTGTATTTTGAAGATCTAACTCTTAATTTTTCATCATCAACACCTTCTTCATAATTAATTCTTGTGTTCCTTTTAATATTACTGCATGGATCACATTCAAAAAGATTGATTACCTTTTACATTTAAATTATTTATATTTAAAACACGATAACCTTCTTATACTTACTCTGTATCTCGTAGATGCTTTACTATTCCCTTTGGAAGCAATTTACAACAACTTGTATTAAATTCGCAACAATATAACTTATACGAGTACCAATATTTCAGTTTAATTTCGAAACTGAAACAGCCAATCCGTTAATACGAATTAGCAATCGGTATTTAATAGCTGCTAAGATCTTAGTTTCCAGAGGTTAGGAATCTAGTAGTATATTGTTTATGTTTCAATAGGGCTCAATACATATAGACCAAATGCAAGTGGAAATGCGTTCCCTATCTCTTAGCGGTTCTAAATTGGATTTGTTATAGGTGCAATCAATAATTTAATGTTTCAATACTAAAATATATTTCAACAAGGTAGGGAAATATTAGAATTTGCAGTTAATCTACTTATTAATGACATATTTAATAAGTAATTAATTACTGGCTATAAGATTCTTGCTTCTTGCTAACGAAATACGGCTCTTAAAAATATTATACGACTTTGGTTTAGTGCTCACATCCAGTTTACTGAACACAAGAGTTTCTAATACTGGACCGCGTCCAGTTAAGTTAATACCACTTAAATAATAAATATACGAGTTTCTATAAAATACGGTAAAAAAATAAAAACGAGGTTAGAGAAAGTTAGAGAAAACTCCACAAAATCACGATGAATAATCTCCAAGTAATGTTAGTAAAGATGTGAGGAAGATAGCAGAGAAAGTAAGCATCTAATACAATTGCATACATTGCATCTTACGTCTTTTCTGAACAAAAGAATACCTAATGCTACATCGGTTGCGACGTCTCTGAATATTCGACATGTTAAAATGACAAGAAAAAATCTGATGTGTCCAACACATGACTTTCCTATCTAGTTAAGCTATTGCAGCATCTCTAAAAATGTTTAGAGGATAAACTAAATATATACATTTTCCACATACATCTACCTCGAAACATTTTTCTATAGATATTCATTGAAAACGAAAATATTGAAAAATTTTAATTTAGCACTTTTCCTCCAATTTTTCCATTACGGTCCATTTTAGAAAAATCATTTAAAAACAAAAATTATAGAGATCGATATCGCAAACAACTTTTAGTTCAGAATTTTGCACATTTTGTCAAATTTCTCGAATACGGACCATTTCAGGAAAATTTGACATTGAACAAAAATTATAGATAATAATATTGTAAGTAACTTTTATTTGAAGAATTTTCTTCTCCAAACGTAAATAACGAATATATTCCATAAAATATAAAAATGACCACCAATAAAGTACCCCCCAAATGTTCCGACTCTGTCCAAAATCTAATCAGTTCACCTCAGGTCGAAATAAAACTTAAGTTTAAAATATAATGTTTTTTCCTTTATTCGTTTTTGAGTTTTCTTCAAAATTCGAAATTTACACATTTTCTCAAATATCTCGAATACGGTCCATTTTAGAGAAATTATGTATGGGATAAAAATTATAGAGAATTATGTTAGAAACAACTTTTATTTGAACAATTTTTATAAAAAATTATTTTTTTACATTTTGTCAAATTTCTCGAATACGGACCATTTTAGGAAAATTTTGCATAAAACAAAAATTATAGATAATTATATAAGAAGTAACTTTTATTTGAAGAATTTTCTTCTCCAAACGTAAATAACAGATATATTCCATAAAATATAAAAATGACCACCTATAAAGTACCCCCCAGATGTTCCGACTCTGCCCAAAATCTAATCAGCTCATTGGACGCTAAAACAAAGCTTAAGTTTAAAATTTGGTGTTTTTCTGTGTATCGGTTCATGAGTTATGCGTTATACAGACACACACACAGACACACACACAGACACACACACACACACACACACACACACACACACACACACACACACATACACACACACACACACACACACACACACACACACACAGACATCATCGCGAAAATAGTCAAAACGGATTCAGGGGACCTCAAAACGTAAAAATCCGTCGAAAACTCGAGGTCGAAAAAAATCATGATTCCTATACTTTCCTTATATCTGTATACAGATAGGAAAGTAAAAAGGTGTTATTTATAACTCTGGATGAAACTTGGAGACCAACAAGCAGTAACAGCAGTGAACTAACTTTATAAAGCCATCTGAAAAGGTAATGTCTTTTGTGATTCCAGAGAAATAATTTTATTTTTATTTATTTGTAACCCGGAAGTAAATATATATATAAAAAAATGTATATCTCATGTATTCTAGCAATGAAATAACTAGGGTTATACCTTCATATTCAGATCCTACAATATACATCGATGGCGCAATCAAATACTGCCACAACTACAATACTATTGTTTTGAGAAATTTCATTTTAAAATTTTGTCTTTATATTTTATTTAAAAGTTACGACATTACGCTGTTAAAATTAACGTTTACGATTATAAAATCACCCAAGCTTGAGTTATTGCGTCTGTGTGACTATCACATTTTTATATTTTTTAATAGTGTTTAATAATTTATCATGACAAATGAAAATATCTCATTGCAATCATTAAAAATGTCAATATAAGCTGCTAAAGTTTCACTGAAATCCATCCAGTAAAAAATAAATAATTGTAAACCTCTGTTTTAACCACGTAAAATATGTAACAACCAGTTCATCCTAAAGACCAACGCTCGTCACCAAATGTAACAACCAGTTTACCTAAAGACCATTTGCAACTACTGTTAGGTCTTTAGCTACTGTTGTTAATATGCTATTAAGGGATTAGGGCAGCGACATCACCAGCCAAAGGGTCCTGGAGTCCTGAAGGAACATCCATTCGCCAGTGGCAAAAAAAAATAATAAAGAAAAATAATAAATTACAAAAAAACATCCCTTAATAGCATATGTCGAGCGGTTCTTGGCAACTAGTTTTAGACTCTTTTAGTCCTAAGGGAATAGAAACGCCGAGGCTTCTCAAATGCTCGGAGTATTTTGCTGGTTTGGGAAAGGAGGAGAGATTAATAATAAGTATTAAAACATTAACAAATGTATATTAACAATAAATAAAAAACTTGACAAATAGTCTTCAGAAAAAATGAATAAAATTTCATTTAGAGAATAATGCACTATAACTAATAGTAATAACTAATAGATAAGCATAAAATATAATTCGGGACGAAAATGTTAAATTGGCATTTATATGTAAATCAATTAATCAATTATTATTAAACAAAATTAAGTTAAAATATTTACCCATAATTCACATCGTACACAAAAACTTTACACATTACTTTACAATAAAAAAACCAGGGTTTCGCCCGAGGGGCGAAAGTTCTGGACCTTAGTCCGAACCCGACTGAGCCTTTCCCCCAAGTGATCCTTTCTATATAAACCAAAATTTATGTGACTGTTGATTGTATTTTACAATGTCACGTTCAATGTAAATTAATAAAATGAAGGTTTGTTTCATTGTCATAAGTGTCTTTTTAATTATTTAATTTAAACATTAAATACTTGTTTAGAATTTTTGGTAAATTCTTTAGATTTTTCAATTAATAATAATGCCAATTATTACAAATACACCGAAATGGCGGCATTAAGCAAAATTCACAAAATTTTCAAATTACCTATTTTTTAATACTCAAACTCTTTCCCCCACAGACGTTTCCTCTTCCAACCCCACTGCTGAAACGTCTACATCAAGCGTGAACCTCACAGTCATCGTTGTGAGCTTGGCTGCAGCTGCAGTTGTTCTCATAGTTAGCATAATTTCAGTAGCGGCGATCTTGGCTTGTCGAAGACCCAGGGGCGTCACAGCAGTTATCAGGAGACGCAGTAGACGAAGCAGCAAGCCTCCAGAAGAGTTCGAACTATCCGATGATGGTTTCGGAGAGGGATTCCATAGAAGAAGTGCTCAGTATAGAGCTAGTATGTATGGGGAGTGCGAGGAGAGGATATCCAGGATGATTGAAGGTAATAGTTATTTTTTATTATACCTTTCTGTAAAACTTTTAATCAGCAAACTAATATAACATTTTATTCTGTTTTTACAAATTAAAATTAGACATTAAATCGGTACAATATCATTAAAAAATCATTGGAAGCAGATTCTTTTACAAAATTATGTAAATAACGTAAATTAGCCATCCAGTTTAGTCGTTTAGTTTAGTCTCTGGAATCTTTAGAGAGTAAAAATTGCATCCGTGTTACCTTCAGATAACTTTTCACTTTTTCCTTATGTAAGATGTGATTTTCGAACTGGAATTCATATCGGCACAGAAATAATGCAAATATTTGTTCAGTCATTAACGTGTGTGTAGGAGTCATCTGGCATCATTTAATTGGATCACTTACACTGCCAAAAAGGTTATCTGGAGAACTGTATCTGAAACTTCTTCAAAACAATTTACCAGAACTTTCAGAAGGTCTACCTTTTGCAATAGGTTAGGGGTCAATTTGTAGTGATTTAAAGCCATAATAGCATTAGCTGTACTACTTGCGTGTCGCTTTGTAGCAGTAAACTGCTAATGGCAGCTAATAGCTTGCTCTACTAAGTTTAATATTTACTGAAGGTATTACACCTGAGCATAAAATCTATATTATAGAAGCGTGGATAAGTTTAGTCTATACCAATCCAAATGTTATTAGAGAAATTAATAAATATTAGTGTTTATTGTAGCAAAAGAAAGACCTAATTTAGTTCAGGTATTGCAGAGGGTCCAACAATTTTCAATTCTTAGATCTAGGAAATGCATAAGATTACATGGAGCTTATGTTGAACGTTTGTACAAGGCGCTTTCAGCAAAAATTAAAGAAATTTGTCATTAATCTTATGTGTTCTATCTAAATGCTATAGATATTATTTAAAAATTTAAATTAAATTAAAGTTAATGACGTTATCCATAAATTTTTTTTACATCTATTTTAGAATGTCTAAAATCATTTCTATAACATGTAAATGTAATACTTGCATTTTTTAAGCAGTTTTGTAGCCCTACAGCACTTATACAGAAGTCGCCACTGTTCATATAAGTACAAATTAAATATAAATATTCAAAATGCTTTTTTAAAAAATAATAAATGTTCAGTTCGCCTCTATTTAACCAAGATTGTAATCCAGTATTCCTAGTGATGTGCCTGATGATGAAGTGAACAAACTTCGAAACCTGTCACAGTTAAAATACACATTTTTTTGTGATATATAAAGAACCTGTTGTCTTTCTTTTTCCCACCTTTAAATATAAATATTATTAAAGTAAAAGGGGACATAATAATTTAATTATTATTTAGAATGTAATTTAATTTATCGAAGAAAATAAAACACCATTCGTACCAATTCAAATCGATAGAAGTCTAATGAGTCTTTTCGAAAAAGGCGACCGCAGAACCGGAGTCCAACCTCGTCAGATAACGAGCAAATTTTAATCAAACATCAAATCTCAGTCTTCTCAATTGAAATCTCTCTCGGAGTTGCACAGAATTACAAACGGTGTAAGTATACGAAGTAACCAATAGAGAACATGGTTAGGTACTAGATCGTGTGCCAGTATATGACGAAGAGTAAGAGTTGCTTGAGAAAAACGATAATTTACACGAAACGCATAAAAGGCTTTCAAAATTACATTGAGGAAGTATATTTCTGTGGCTTTTTGGAGACTCATAAATCATTATTATTATTATTATTATTATTATTATTATTATTATTATTATTATTATTATTATTATTATTATTATTATTATTATTATTATTATTATTATTATTATTATTATTATTATTATTATTATTATTATTATTATTATTATTATTATTATTATTATTATTATTATTATTATTATTATTATTATTATTATTATTATTATTATTATTATTATTATTATTATTATTATTATTATTATTATTATTATTATTATTATTATTATTATTATTATTATTATTATTATTATTATTATTATTATTATTATTATTATTATTATTATTATTATTATTATTATTATTATTATTATTATTATTATTATTATTATTATTATTATTATTATTATTATTATTATTATTATTATTATTATTATTATTATTATTATTATTATTATTATTATTATTATTATTATTATTATTATTATTGTTGTTACGAATAAATAGAACACCCTGTGAATAGGTATGTTATGATTTGTAAATTTTGTCCAAGGGCATGCACATTAAATACATTTGCAATAAAATAACAAAACGTGTAGTTGGACAAGGTTTTATTAAATCATAATATTAAAGTACAGGGTCAAGAAAGATCAACACGAGCATTCTTGGAAAATTACAAGTGAATTTTCTGGGAGTTCCTTTGGGGTTTTTGTTGGCGATCGGTCGTGTCCAGTTTTTGGCACTAAGTAAATTTCGGGTCGGTCACGCGAAATCGCGGTTAGTTTTATTTTGTGTAAAACCACGTAGTGGAAAAAGTAACGTGTGCCTTTAGCCAGTCCTGCTGCCCAACGGATAACAATGTTAATGTAAGTAGATACTTTTAAGGAGTAATATTTAATTGTGTAGTTAGCAAAGATTATTGAAGTGCTATATTTATATACTTGTTAAATAAACCATAGTTATTTGTTTTACGCTTGTTGTTTCAATCTTTCAAGTTAGGGTTCCTTAGGTCTTCCCGTCTAAACTTAACCCCCTAGCCGTGTGTTATCTAGAGGCCAATTTAAATACGAATTGGGCCCCTATATATAACCCGTGGTTACCGCTAAGAGTGGACTTTAGGGCCAGTCAAAAGGACCCATAATCTCACTCTTAACATTATACACGTGGATATATTGCAACCAGATTATACCAAACAAAAATCTAATCAGGTAGATATAAATATTTCATCAAACTATAATAAATTTACTAGCAGTGCTGGACTTAACATAGATCAAATGAAACTTCATAAAAAACATTTACATTAGTGGAATTAACAAAAAATCTGTTTTTTTGCTGTTAACATATGTCACTAATTCTTAATGTCAATTATTATCAATTACAATTGTCATAGATGAAGTTGACTTCCAGGAAAGCACTCAATTTATTTAAATAATGATAGATATATTTATAAAACTGCTCGCATCTCAAATAAAGAAACTCGTGCCGACCATTCTTACTGAAATTGACAGCCATCTGACTCTGTTTAATGCGGCAGCAAAATATGAATGCTTAATCTCCGAGCAATGACTACTAGAAAGAACATGAAACGAATTTGTAAGGTATCTGTAGAGAAAGTGAGCAAGCGAACACAAGGGGGAAGGTAAACAACCCCTTTTGTTCAGTGGCGTATCATTTCTCTGTAAAAACAGACAAATATTAATTGGATTTTTAAACAAATTTTATGTTTTTGTTTTGCAAAAGACTTTTTTGCCTTCTTCAGTTGCCTTTGCCATTTTTCTTCTGGTAGTTTTGAGGATAATTTCACTATAGAATATAACGTCCATTTTACCAAAAATAAATTGGGAGTCGGTATACCTTGCTCTCGATTAGTTCAGCACATGACTACTCGGGCGATGGGTGCGATCTTCACTATTAGTTAGGCGTTGAGTGGAAGACACTGTCCTGGGCGCCACTGCATCGATTGAAGGGAATAGGGGAATACAGAAACCTATATAAAAGTATATTTGCTTAAGAAAGGAATGTGTTAACTGTAAATAATTAAATCAGTTACAAGAGATAATAAAAATCGAACTATTATTTAATAAACCCAATTTATTAATAAAAACTGTAGTTATGAAAGATACCTATGAAAGACATGAACATATTAGTTATGAAAGATATCCATGAAAGATATGGAAAATATCTATACACAAATCCGATTTTAAAGATATATAAAATAATTAAATTATGGTAAAAACTGTACTAATTATACATAGAAAAAAAATAATGAGTTGTAGGTATATTATATTTTAATAAACCTCAACATTTCAATTGCCAAAAAGTATTGATAAATCAAAAATGTAATAAGTATGCTTATTAATTTTAAAAAGAAAGTCAAATTTTAATACCTAATGCTAGGGGAACATCTGTTACTCCTAGATTATAGAAAATTCACAAGAACTTTAAGTTCAAGTTCAGTGTTATAAGTTAATATTGTGACGAAAGTCTAATTTATTTTTAGTTTATTTATTTAAAAACACACTATTTACAATTTATTTCAGACGTACTATTTAATTTATATAATACTAATTAACAATTCTAATTTATGTCTTACACTTTAACTTTCCAATACAATGTTCTGTATTAAAACTAACTCGGCGCTGATACGTTGGCTATTTATATTAGTCCAACTCCGCTACTGGAAGATGCTAGAGGCTTTAGAAGATTCCACTTCTATGACTAAACGGCACTCCTTGCCGTTCCAGCTGTTTCTAGTGCATCAGCGGCAGGCATTCCGTCGTTTCTTGTATATTCGAGACGTGGTCCGATTGTTTTCACACGTCAGCGTTGCTTCGATCACGAGTCGGTTGCCATGTAAAAGTTGCGTGCTTAGACAGAGTCAGACTTAGGAATTCATGACAATATTAATAAATAAATTAAGTCAAATAATGTGGCAATGTAAACTGAGTACATAATACCTAATTAAATATAAATACAACTGATACCCAAAGTATGGTAAATTGTTAACCTAGGATATAGATCTATACCTGTGGTGTACAAAGACATTTGTCTTGAAGGAAATATAAATAGGTTTATAAAAAATATTTATAATATAAAAATACTTATGCTATGTTCTAGACTTTAAAAGCATAGAACAAAAATGATAGCAAGATTAAAATAAAAAATAAGCATCGAAAATAAAATAAAAATTGTTAAAAACCTACCCGTCACTAAGAGGCACCATCTAAAATAAGTCAGCGGCACACAAAGACTCATACAACACGACACCTTCCTGAAACCTTTTAACGGTCTTCACCTGCTTAATTTAAAGCGAATAAGAAATAATTTTTGATGTTTTGTTATAACTTTTTGTTTAGATATTGAGGAATTTACGGACAATATGGCAAGTTTGTAATATGGCAGCTTTTTGTAGTCTATTGATAGTGTTGCTGTTTATTTCTAATAAATTAATTTGATTTTCTAAACTCTTAGACACGACTGTAGCAGACATCACCATTTGTATGATTTTTATATGTTTTAACTCTCAAATATGTTTAATTTCTATAGCTAAATTTTTGTATTTATTTCGTTTTTCTTTTTCAGTTTTAGTTATATTGTTATCTAGAGGGCATGCTATATCTATAATCCAGGTAGTTTTAAGTTTTTTGTTAATAAGAAGAATGTCTGGTCTGTTATAATCCACTGTTCTCATCGTTAATATTAGATTGGCCCAGTACAATACTGCATCCTGATTTTCTAATACTCATAGTTTTTAGCTAGTTCGATATTATTTAAGCTACTTGGTTGTGTCAGCCTAAGCAAGCAGCATTTGACAAAGCACTACACCCAGCAGTAATATGTTCTATAGTTCCCCCTAACTTAGTGCACTTTCTGTAGTTGTCTTAAGTGTTTAACTTTATCAAATGCGTATGATCCGGTCCTGAGTGGCTATTATGAACCCTTCTTTTTTAGGATGTAGTTCACCTTTCTTCAGTCAGATAAGGGATTTTTCTTTGTCAGTTGCAGTATTGTCTAATGTACCAGGATATGTTCCATGTAGTGCCTTGTTCTTCCAGATTTCTATTTGCTGCTCTTTATCAGAAATTTGTATCGAGTGTTCTGTATTACCTAATTTTAATGGTGTATAATTGTCATCAATCTTTCTTATCTTGGCTATTAATCGGTTTTCAGAGTTTAAAAAATATTGCCTTATGTATAGTTCTCAATATTTATAAGCCCTCTTCCTCTTTTGGATCTAGAAAGGTATAAGCGTTGGATGGCTGATTTAGGGTGATGGGACCTAAATTTGGTAAGATGTCTTCTGGTTAGTCTGTTTAGTTTATCTAGATCTACTTGGGAATACTTCAATAGGCCAAAAGAGTATGTTAACACAAGTATCACCCACATATTAACAGATATAAAAAGATTTCTTGCATTCAGTTTGGTATTAAGCAATTTTGTAATTCTGCTGCGGTATTTTTCTTTAATTTTCTTCTTTAAAGATGTGTGGTCAATTGTCTTGTTTTGAGCTATTCCTAGATATTTGTATATTTTTTTTTTTTTTGGTTGTATAGGATTTATTCCTTGGATGTTATTTTTCTCTTCTACTAGTTTTCCTCTGCAAATTGTTATATATGCACATTTGTCCAATCCAAATGACATACCAATATCACTACTGTAGTTCTCTGTAGTGCGTATCATTTCGGTTAGTTGTTTTTTGGATTTGGCATATAATTTTATATCGTCCATGAACATGAGGTGACTTAGTTGATACTTTTTCTTAGTATCAATCTCATAACTCAATTCATTGCGATTAAGTAGAGTTGAGAGGGGATTTATTGCCAATACAAATCATAATGGGCTTAATAAATCTCCCTGGAAAATACCTTGAGAAATTTTGATTTCTCCAAAGACCCCTCCATTACAATGCAGTTTTACTCTCCACGTCTTCATAAAACTTGACAATAGTGAACATATTGTTGGGTGGATTTTGTATAACTTTAGAATTACTCTTAGCCAGTTATGAGGAACGGAATCAAAGACTATATATGTCATGTTTAGATTTCTGTTTTTGTTATGAGCTTGTTTGGTAACGACAGAATCAATAGTAGGCTGTTCCTTACAGCCTAAGCTACTTCTGATACAACCTCTCTGTTCAATTGCTATAACGTTATTTTAATCAGTGTTCATAGATTTTGTTTTGAATTAGGGACGTAAAGAGTTTGTATATTACTGAGAGGAAGTAATTGGTCTATAGTTGCAGGGTTATCACCTTTCTTATAAAGTAAGAAAGTATTTCTAACACCCAGGAATTCAGGAAATTCTTTCAAGTTTCCAATGATTTGGTTAAAAGAATTTGCTAATACCTCATGTAGTGGTGTACATTTATTTAACCAAAAGTTCTGAATTTTGTCAGGACCTGCAGCTTTCGAGTTAGCGGTTTTTCTAATTGCTTTCTTTATTTCATCAGGTATTAACATTACATCTCTCATATCTCTATTAATTTATATATTTTGTCGAACTTCTTCAGGCCATTCGATATCCAACGTTGCATTTGTTGTTTTAGACCAGATATCTGTCCAATAGTTATTAAAAGCTTCTTTGTCAATGGTGTGGTTTTGTGGATCCAGGTTAGCTGTTAGTGATCGAAAAAACTATTGAGGGTTTAGTTGGAGTTGGCGATTCTGGAGTTTTCGCTTAGTCATTTCATTATAATAATCTTGTACCCTTCATTTTATACATTTGGCGTAAAGTATCTTTATGATTTAATTACTTTTGGTAAAATTATTTATCATTTTTCTTTAGCTTTAATTTTTTGCAGTTACCATTTATTTTATTTTTTATTCTCCGATAATGTCTACCCTACTTCTTATTTTGTTTATTTATTTATTTATTATTATTATTATTATTATTATTATTATTAAATTATTTGCTTTTCAATTTCTTTCTTTTTCAATCTATAAGTAATGTATTCATATTCCAGTTTAATTAAGAATTTTTTAATAAGTTAAAAAATAACTCAAAATCTCGATCACTTTGGTTTATCACCAGACATTATTTTTGTGGTGCTACCTTTGAATTTAAACTTCTGAACTCGAATAAAAATATAATTTAAATATATTATTAATCACGGTTTAAACCAATCGAATGATTAAGGAAACGATTCGCAAACGGGGAAAAAGTCCTAAATTATTTCTTGATCCAATCTCAATCAGAAAGCGAGCGCTGATCAGCGTTTCTTTTGGCATGCACCCTTCGGGACATTTATTTTCTAATTTTATTACCGAACAAGCAGCGGTTCGAAACCAAACCGCTGCTGGTAATTTTTTAAAAGAGAGAACGAGAGCAAACGTGTATCACATTTACGTATTTGGTCGGTAAATCAAGCGGTCTTTGGAAGATGCCAACCAAGCAAATGAAAGGAGCACGTTTATATAATATGGATGGAATCAGGGACGGAGAAAGATAAAATAGTAATAAACTATTTTCCTATCTGGATCTATTGAAAATACTTTTCGGTATTATGAGGTAGTTATTGTATTATTCTTATTTATTTACAAAAGTATAGATATTTATTGCTACGTGATACTTAACCCTTAGGATCCTTTGGAAGATTTATTTTTATATAAACAGGTTTATTTGGACTCAATTAAAGACTATTAAAGTAATTTTTTTGTTAATTTACAGAAAAAATTGGTGGTTGATATTTCAACCAATGAAGGTCTAGATATGTGACAATACTTGTATGTTCATTGGTTGATATATCAACCACTTACAACGATTATTTTTACAATCAGTGTGTCTACTTAAGTTGGAACCATATGGAAAACATTTTTATTATTGATTTTTGGAAAAAAGTTATTCCTGATAAAAAGTCCTGCATGACCCAAAACCTAAAATACAGTCATCACATATCAAATTTTTCAAGCCGTATACGAGGTTTGTCAAAAATATTCTAGAGCTTCCTTTCATAGGAAGATGAAAGCCAACATTACTTAGTATGTTACTATTATCAACTGTGACATTTCTTCCTCCTAATTTTTCAATTTTCCGAAAAGCTGAAGGTAGAGGGCTTTTGCGCTTCTCACCATTGAAGCTATTGATAAGTTCGTCTGCAAGTATAGTTCTAAATTTTAACTGATTGATACGTTATCGACTGTTTGTCTTCATTTGAATTTTATGAAGTATGTATGAATTTACAATAGAACAATCCAAAAAGTGGTAAAATAACTTGAGCCATCATCTCCTGGACTTTCAAGATATATTGTAGCAAGCAACAAGCTGGTCAAAATGATTGAGCTTATTCATATGCATGTTGTAGTCACGTATAGTTAGGGGACAATTGATGGTTTCTTTGATACCAATCTTATTTGTCCTTTGAATTGTTGTAATTTCGCTAGCGTCATGCATGTTGCTAATTACAACTAGCTTTTTACCCTGATCTCTCCATTTACATACATATATTTCAGAAGACAGCAAAATCTGACTGTCCAAGTTTTAAAATTAAAATATTTTTTGGATAATTTTGTCTATTTACTCGAAAAATACTAACGGCAAATGTATTTTGTTTAAGTAGAGTTGATAATAAATGAAATGTGCTAAAAAAGTGCAAAAGCCCTTGTTCCAGTAACATTTTGATAATTTGAGAACAACACGCTCACCTAATGCACTTATATCTGCATTATTTTTACTTTTACCTTCATACACGTCAAAAGTAAGCAAGTAACCTATTTTTGAACATGCCATTCCCCAAACCTTGATTCCACGTTTCGTGGGTTTCATAGGCATATATTGCTTCAAAGATGTTCTACCTTTGAAACCCACCATACTATCATCAACTGCTAGGGGCCTATTTGGGATGTAATTGGCTTTAAAACTTTTATTTAGACCTTCTACCATGAGCTGGACCTTTTACATTTTATCGAAATTGGGACTATTTCTGTCAGGCATTTTACTGTTGTCATTCAAATGTATATGATGCAAAATCTGCAAAAACCGTTCTTGTCAATACATTTACAATTCTGTCAACTTTCATATTTGCATCTGTTGACCAATGAAATCCCATTATTATAAGTATCCCAATAAACGCATTTAATTCATCTATGTTTAGATTCAATGAACAACCTTTTGAATGTGCATAGATGTTAGATTCGCTATCAATTGAACAAAGTCATAAGTAAAAATCATATTGAATATACTTAGGGGACTGTTGGTATAGATATGATTCGTTAGACCACATTTTTCAGAAAACTTGAATTTTAAATAAATACTATATAATACTAACTATTAATATCTTTAGTTTGGTCTTCTAGCATTTCTTCTTCTTCAATATCGTCTTGGTCTTTAAAATGAAAATTCTTGATAACATTTTCTTGTTCCAGTAAAAAATCGGAATCTTCCATGAAATCATTTGAATCATAGTCATCAGAATAATCAATCATTATATTTGATTGGGCTCTGGTACTGCGAGCTTGTTTTTTGTTGGTTCTGAAGTATATGATGCTTCTTGAGATGTTAAATGCTCTGGATCTTTGGAAACTGAAGGTTCTGGTGCTTTAGAAACCAAGTATTTTTGAATAAAAATGTTAAATTTTTGGTCAAATTGTCAGGAAATTTATCATTCTATATTATCTACTTATATACATGCCTTTTGTTTTATAAAAAAATGTTGGATACACAAAAAATAACTTCACCTAATGCAAAAAAATAAAAATCATCCAAGCAACAGATACCTTGACGCGTGTTGGTTGATATATGAACCACTTCTGCTGTAAAAGCGCGCGCGTGCTTACTATCTCCAGTTTGAGGAACTATATAACCTAAATACATAGCTTGGATGATAAGTGGTTGATTCTTCGACTATTCACACCTGGGATGGTTCTGTAACTTAAGGCATTGATATTTCGACTAGAGAATAATAAAGGGTTAACTTAATAACCCTCGGCCTAGCTCAGCAGAGTCGGTGGATTCGGTTTAGAATTTACTAACAAATCACTGGCACTATCTTTAATTAAAAAGACAAGACTATTAATGGTTAAGGATGCCATGTTTTCAGATGATCAATAAATACAAATTATGCCATTAATTTGCTAATTAAAAGTAAGGAGTAAATTAGAATAAAGTGACTTTAATGTAAATGTTAAACAACTTGTCAATTTAGGAAAAAAATGGTTAGATCAAATTTCACGACCTTGTTGCATAACCGAATGGTACAAGGATCACATAATTGTTATTTTATTTTGGTACTGTCCACCTCGATCTTTTGTAAACGATCCGTATCGATCGTAGAGTCATTCGAGATCCAGCCTTTAAAATACAATCATAGCATAACCAAGTGGGTTAACATTTTGTTCAGTTGAATGAATCATAGTAAAAAAATGGTGTTTAATTTAAAACAGTAATAACTAATAGAAAAAATACTTCTTCAGACGGTAGATATAACAGACCTATCTATTTAAACCAATATAGGTCTAACATATTGAAATAATCGCAGTGCGGTGATCTCCCTTCCTAATCTCAAGCAGTACTCCTCCAGCCCTGGATACAGAGTAAATCTTTAAACCTTATCAAAGGAATCCACTCAGTTTGTGGAGCTTTGTATCCCGTTAATTCCCAATACGTCGCTAGGATGGCGTCCTTCTTAGAAAGCTAAAAGAGTGACCAAAATATTCTTGTATCTAGTTCTAAGTGCAAATAATTCATGCGCCGGTATTTTTTTCATTTTGTATAACATTGGACTAGATGATATTTTATAAATTTTTAATGCTATAATTGTTAATAAATTCAATATATAAAATCCAGTGGGAAACTCCATATTAGAATGATTCATTTCCGCAACATTTTGTTTTTTTTTTTTTTTTCAATGCAAAATAATAATCTACATATAGAAATATACATTCTCACCCAGCTTGAGCTCTTAATATCAATTTTAAGTACTGACTATTTAAATCTAAAGTTTTACCATTTAAAATGGGCCTTAGGATACTCATAGTTGGTAGGTTACTGGATGTATTCTGGGTGTGCTGGCGAACTATGGCGCCATTATAAAAATAAAACTTTAGCGGACCACCCCTAGCTAGCGGCACTACCCTAGGTAGTCAACGTAACTTCGTACGTTACAAGTTGTTTTATTTGAGTTTAAAAGAAATCTTTGGTAGAAAAATCTACATTTATATTTATATATATTTTATTTTTTCAGAAATACTGACAAACAACAACTCTAAATAGATTAAAGGCACAGCCGTCCTCCATTCTAACTTCAATTTTCGTATTTGATTAAAAATCCTGACACAATTTAGTTCCACAGTTAATATTATGTTTCCATTCTCCCCCTTACATGCGCATAGAGAGGCGAAAATAATGACATTACCTATTTTCCTTTACCTTCTTCAAATTGGATCACGAATCCATGAGGTGTTTTATCAGATTTTCTTTTTGGTTAAAAAAGCAGTTAGGTCTTGATGTAAATTTATATTTTTCTTATATCTTTTGCGTGAATTTTGTCAATTTAAAATATCATATAAAGAAAATTAACGTCGTAAGTCGGTTTATTTTCGAGATTACCGGTTTATTTTTATACGGGGATTCCCATAATTTCACTGCCAACAGCAATGCGACAATTTTAAAAATTTTTGTTATATTCGTAAATGGATAAATTTTGGCGTTTCAGTGTAGTTGATAGATAGATATTGTTATTGAGTTTGCACTCAATATTTTTAAATAATACACCATTGGCCATTCGTTTGAAAAACAAACAAAAACATGTAATATTACAAATAACGATCAAAAATTAAAAAATATTTGTCGTGAATATAGACTGTAAGTGTAGTATTCTTTTTAATAAATAATTTAGCGTAATTACATTGTTTAAATTTATTTACAAGAAGATATTTATACAATCTTTATTATCAGGTTCTTCAATTTCCCGCTGCGTTGTTTGATATCGATGAAAGCGCCACGTAGTGTGTCAGATGTTAACTGCGTTAAAGCTGGTCGTTGTTAAGCATTGACTTCTTATGCGCGTTTCTTATCTTTATCTCCCTTATCTCTGTCAAATATTATAAAAACTACTATTTCAAATATAAAGTAGCGACCAATTTTGGCTTTATAAAGCTATTATCATAATATTCATTCGCTAGATACAAAAAAAAAATAAACAATATGACTAAATGATTAGACCAATGGCGGCTAGAGCAAAAAATTGCAAGTATCTCATCTATATTTTACAAAAATTATTTTAGATGAAGTTTTAAACATTCTGAATTATACGTAAAATAGATCTTATGGATATTCTTAATATTTGTATTATTAATAGTAAATAGTGTTGCACCGTTTGGTCGGCCGCCTGCTCATCTTCTCTTTCCTGTTCATCGTCTCTTTTAGCTGTTATAGTAATCTTGATAGGCATATGCCTAAAAAACAGACTAATTAACAAGTCTGTAAACAAATAAACTTTCTTCAACTTTAACAGTATTTTGTTCCAAATTAAAAAAAAAAATGTGTATGACGGTGGCTTTTTACCTATCGCCACGCTTGTTTTCTTGGCAAAGAAAACCCATGACAATTATCATGACGAAATGAACACCGACTATTTTGAGCAATGGTTTAAGGAGTCGTTGATTCCTTAGTCAAAAATAAACGAAAGGACGTTGTTGTTGTTATGGATAACTCTTCATATAATGAACAAACCCGAAATAGAAAAAGA